CATGCACAACAACCTCTTCCCCGTCGTTCCGCGTTTCCCCCTCCCCTCATATCAACCAACCCCTCATCTCGACCGAATAGGTAGGGGGCTTGCTGCCCATCCGTCGATGAGAGAGCGTGATCAACGACTGCTGCTGCCACGGCTGCAGCAGGATGTGTGCAGACCTTCATGCAGGTGATGGGCAGCAGTAATTCAGCCGCCATCACATTTTTTCTTACCTGCCTATCAACTTTGCTTTTTGGCCATGGGGGTTTTATGTTTTTCTGCTCATGCTGTAACGTTTCCCTTGTCTCCAAAGGGGGAAAAAGGAGCTAACAATACTACTGCTTCTGACCAACAAGAATTGTTCCCTTTTTCTTCTTAAACCCGACGAAGATCCCCGGATTGACTACGCTAGCCAAGCTAAAAAGCAGCTGATTCAGCTCAACACACTATGCTCTCTCAAACCCACACGGCTCGCTGGGCTGGCTGGACTGGATTTTTGGACTCTGGCACTTTGGGTACTTGCTGACAGCACTGCGACCTGGACGGACGGGCTGGGCTGGGCGGAGGGGCGTGGGATCTACCGCCGTCCCGTTGCTAGCAGACTCCCTAGCTCCGTCCCTCCGTCCTGCCAAGGGGGGGTGGGTGTTCATTCACTCACTCACTCAATCTCTCTCTCTCTCGCTCAATGCGCCGAACGCCGCTTCCACCTCCTGCATTGGTGATAGTAGCACCAGAAGATGTCATCGTGGGGGGGAGAGGGTCAGCGTTGGTCTGCGCTCAAGCAGAGATGCCTCTCGCCCTGGCCATGCCAATCGACACGCCCCCTTCAGTTGCCCTTTCTAATCCCCTAAAGTTCTCCAGCCGCGTCGGGTAAGCATACCGTCATCCCACAAGCCACCTCACCAGTGCGATTTTGCAGGAGGCGCCCTTACGAGAAAATAAAACGAAAGCTTCCATGGTTTGTTCTGTGATAACGGCGGGAAATCCGAGGTTCTATGCAGATGCAAGTTGCTGTGGGAAGAAGTAGAAACCGAGCACTGTCAAGCAGTAGCAGTGCGAGGATGACAAAAAGAAACAAATCAAGAAAAAAGGACTGAATTCCCCCTTGTTGGTTCTCGCGAGACATTGCAATTGAGAAAAAAAGGCATGGCTGCCAACTCGATCGACATGAATCTTTTTTAGCTTTCAATTCCCACTATCATCCCCCTTGTCCCCCATGGCACAGTTGCTTTTCTCCAATAACGCCGCTCCCAAGGTAAGGAAAAAAATAAAATTTTCCAAATTGCAACACACAAATTACTAGCAAGGGCAGCAAGCGCCTCATAGCACCCGACCCCTCGCTCCTGCTCTCCTGTCCCAAAAAAAGTCGCCCTAGTGACCGTCGACTGTCTGCCGGTCCTGTTTCGCCAAGGTTCTGTCTCGTGTCGGAGTTTCTTCTCCAAAGTCCCTGTTCCAAAGAAATAAGATAAAGAGGTGGGGGGCGGGCGAGAAAAGAAAAGAAAACGGAAGGAAGCTTGAGACTCGATGACGATGCAGAGAGGAGAAACAGGCCCTGCATGCCCGCTAAATCTCCCCCTTCCCTCTTTCTCGTGTCGGCCTTCTCAAGACTGTGATTCTGCGCCGGTCCTTTCTTTCCCGATCAGCGCAACACCTGGTGATGTTTCCGTGTCGGGGGCCCCAATTGAGTGTTGGTAGAAATGTAAGTTGTACGCCGATATCCATGGTGTTCCCTTTCTGCCGTGTGGCAATGGCCGGTGTCTCCCAATCCTAACTCCGGGTGTATTCGTACAAGTGAACAGCAGAATAATGGATCGGGGGAAGCAAGAAAACAAATGTGTCGGAGAAAAAAGACAAGACGTGAGTGTGTCGTGTGTTGTGCGCCGCTCGACGGTGGGATGCTCGCTCGTTATGGTGTCGTTCCGCTGCCCAGAAGGTTTTCGGTATTATTCCCGCACGCCTTTTTCTTCCCCATCCTATGCTGCCGAAAGCTCACCAGCTTCCTCTGCTGTTGGCTGGCGAGCTGGGGTTCGATCCGGTGAGGTAGTTGAGTGCCATTTCGGCGGCGTCTTCTTTCGCATTGTTGAGGTTCTTGCCGTCGTACCAAAATCGTGCGGAGAGGGTGCGTCCGTGGACGGTGACTCGGCTGGACCAGGCGGTACGGCCGCCTGTGACGAGGGGGACGAACCGTTAGTTACACCGACGGACGACAAGTGCGTGTGCGCTTTTTCTCTCGGGGGACAGGTGCTTACCACGTCGATCAGAAACGATCTGGAATACTGGTGGGAGAATGTTTGCCTCGCGGCAGGCGTCTGCGAGTCCCTGGCTTTAGCTTCATGATGCTTTTCTTTGGTGGGATGTGGTGGCGCCCTACCTTCCAGACGCTCCTGCCATGTTCCCGCTTGACTGTTGTACGAGGAGGCAGACATGGTGGCGGACGAGTAAGAAGCGTTGGAGTACATGTAGTGTAATGTTGAAGGAACAATGGGAAAGCTCTCGGGTTCCTAAGGGTTGTTTGTCGAAGTGGTGGTGGTGGTGGTGGGTGCTTTGATGTGATGTGTGTGTTTGAGTCGGTTGGAACCGTAGTTATCTCGAGGAAATCCAAAGCGAAACTCGGTCGATCTTATACTCGGTTCCAGCTAGGCCGTGATACAGATGGGGATATTCCCATTGGGGTGGAAAGATTATGATGTGGCAGAACAAGATTAGCTAGATGCCGTCTGGAGAGGCAAGGAATTGTTTGCACAACAAATAGTAGACGACGGGGAGGACGGGTAAGGGATCAGTTGGGCTGGTACCCTACGGCATGCTGCATCTTGGGATGGGTAGAGGTGGGAGAAGAAAAGGAAAAGGAAGAGGAAACGGGCATGATCCAAAGAAGTAACGACACAACATCACGTCCCAATGCCGTTTGGGTTTGGTACGGCAGGACCGCGTCGTTTCCTGTGTCGTTTCTTTTTCTCCATGCCCTGGTACTTGTCTCTGATGAGCAGCAGCAGCAGCAGCTACGGCGGCGGCGGCGAGGAAGAGGAGGGGTGTGCCACTTGGGTGTGAGTGCTTCTGCTTCGTCTGATGCCAGACCACAGACCAGACGCGGACGTGGGGAGTGTGGTACCGTACTGGGCCGGCAGAACGTCGTGATAAACTTGGATCCTTAGCGTCATCTTTTTTTTCTCGTTATTTTTTTGTCCCTTTTTTTGGTCTCGTTTCCTTCGACTTTCCCTCCCCCTTCCTTTCTCACTTTTCTTTTTTCACACCCCTCGGAGACATACCCTGGCTCCCTAACCCCCCCGCGTGGTTTAGCGGTACATGGGTGCCGACATCCATGAGTTGATGAACACGCAGCTGGGAAACATGGGCTTGGGGGGACTTGAGACAAGATGGAATAGCTCCATGTCGTAGGTAAGGTGAATGCCTCTGGAGGGAGATGGGCAATGGCCGCAGCTCTGAGCCAGCAGCTGATGGGGAATTGGCTTTGCCAGGCTCCCTTACCCGGCGCCCGGGGGGTCCAAGGCCAAACAGAGCTGGCGTGGAGTGCCGACCCGTCGGGGTGGGAGAGGGAAATGATTGGGGAGCTTCAAGCCGCAAAGACAAGGGCCCGTACATGGAAAGACTGGGGAGGGGCGTGGGCGTGGGCGTGGGCGAACCGGACAGGCGAATGGAGGGCGACGAAGACAACGAGAGAAGGCAAAGGGCAAACGGTGGGCAAAGGCAGGGTGCGAGCTGACCAGGGGCAAGACTGGAATCTCGAGCCGAGAAAGGGAGAGAGACAGACAGAGTGAAGGTTACGGATGGCGGATGCATACAGCCTGAGCCTGGATGTACGAGCATGGAGCATCTGTATGTACGAATGGGTATTCGTACCATGTATCCGTAAGGATGTGAAGTGAGTTAGCAGTTATCTGTGTACCGCGATACAGATACCGTGCCCAGGCGTGCTACATGGTACCCCGACTTCGTGGAGATGAATGCTAGCCAGCAATGGAAGAGGCAGAGGGAGAGGCAGATGCAGGCAGGGCGAGCATGGGAGCAGCCGGCGAATGAAAAAGCGAGTGGGTGCACAAGGAAAGGGAGTCTGGATAAGAAAAGCAACGAGGCTGGCGCTCCGGAAGGGCTGGCTGGGTGCAATGGGCTGCGATGGCACCACGACCACGCATCCAACGCTTCGACCAAACCCATGCTATTCGAAGCCAGGGCTGGCATGTCATGGCACTTGGCCCGGTACATACGTAAGGTAAGGAAGATCAGGTACAGGGAATCGGGATGCAAGTGGTAAGTTAGGTGAGATGAGGTAAGGCAAGGCAGGGTCTCGACAACCATAACAAAAATAGCATTGACATCAGACAACGCACCAGCTACAATTGGGCAATCGAGCTAGCAGGAGGAGGGCGGCGGACGATTCTGGGCACGAGAGTTTAAGAGAGAGGAACAAGGAGCACTGGGCACTCACGCACGCACCGGGCAGCAGAATCCATCCACAGCACAGCATAGCTTTGAGCTCTAGCTATGTAGCAACTGTGTGTACTTGACGAGGTGCGCAGCAAGCAAGTGGTACGCACTACGCAGGAATGGGTTTCTGTCTGGGGGTTTGGGCTAATAACGCCGGGACCCCTCAGCGGCGGCATCAACTCCGCCAGCCGGTGAAGCGAAACGGGCCGGGGTGGTAGTGCTAAGCTGGCGGTGGTTGGGTAGGGTAATGGTGTCGCCTCCATAATCTGGCAGTTGAAGGACACTCGGTCAAGAAGATTTGGGCCTCATCGAGACCATCCTCACGAAGATGGACTGACGTTGTTAAAGTATGTCACTCTTGGGCAGGGGAGAAGGCGAGAAAAGGCCGTCGAGCCACGTCGATTGGATGCGATGCGGCAGGAAAGGGCGGGGGGCAGAAGGCCACAGGCAAGTGATGCATGTACCACGATACTGAAGTGGTTTAGAGCGTGAGGGGAGAGGGGGCAGCGAAAGGGGGTGGGATCGGGCAGCACTCGCTCCTCATCGTCATTTGAGGGTGGGGTGAGGCAGAAGATCAGGGCAGGGCAAGGCAAGGCAAAGCAGGGCAAGGCCAGGCCGGGCAAGGCATGGTACTGTACCTGACGGTATCAAGGTATGGAAGGGCATACATGCCATACGCGGTGCGGTGCAGATATGGCCAGACCACAGATGATGCCGATGCCGACGCTGACGCTGCTGCTGCGGGCTTTGATGATGATGATGCTGCTGCTGCTGCTGCTGCTGCTACTGCTGCGAGTGATTGTACTGTTCGCGGATGCTGATTGATGCAGGTGGATAAGGCGGCGAATTGTGAAAATTATTGCAACATCTATCTCGGTAGTTCGGTAGTTGTCGCGGCCAACAGGCGAAGTAGTGTATGGTATGTAGTTGCCAGCGGTAGTTGTGCTTGAATTGTGCTACTACTATTAGTGCTTGTTGACTGCTCAGCTTCAAGTCGACCCATCATCCATGTTCCGGATGAACGACAGCTGCTTTGTCGACAGCAAGGACAGGCAAAGTACCTCTCGTAAGGGATCCCGCAAGGCAAGGTACGTGCGGCTGTTTGGCCGGGTCTCATATGAACAGCTAAGCTCACTGGTTCGGGCTTAGAGCAGATCAGGGACTTGGGGGACTTGACTTGGGCTGAGGACTGCTGTCGTGAGTTGCCGGTTCGTTGTCGCCGCAGTGCATCCGTAGGACGGACGGGATCGGCCAGACTGACAGGCGGCGGGCGGGCTTGAGCGAATGCAGCTCTGGTGCAGCTAACGTGCGGAAATGCAGAGCTATGGACAGCCTACAGCTGCTGCTCACATAGGTAGCTCCGGCTGCGCAGTTCCCCCACTACCTACGAATCCTGCGTAAGGTCTCCATATCCGTACCTGTGTACGAATACAGTCTCGGCCGCATGCTGGTGGATGTGTGGCCCGTCCAGCCTGCAGCGATGGCCGTCAAAGTTGGCCCGTAGTGTACTGCATGCCCAGGCATGTAGCAAAGTGGCATTGGCGGCCTTGGTGGCCTCTGGTGGTCCGTTTGTGGCATCGGGGATGAAAAGAGCTCCAGCCGGAGGGTCCCTCTGCTCTTAGCTTCCTGTGCTAAGGAACCGTCATGCTTCCCCGAAACGAAGGGAACAGGAAAAGGGGGGTGATGGAACCGGGAAGCCGGGGCTGGTCGGCGTTGGGTTTGTGTCGTTTGGCTGAAAGAGCAGTACCATGTACGGATACGCAGGACTGGCAGCTGGAAGTGGACCTGCAAAAGCTGCCCTTGTCCTGGCACCAGGCGGCGGGACTGCGACTTGTGGTGTTTTCGCGCGGCTTTGCCATCACCGTCGTTCGTCTCTCCCCCACTATCGGCAGGCTAATGTCATGAAGGTTCAACCTGCAATACGGGAAGTCCGTCCACAACGAAGCGAAGCTTTGGCGGCGGTTGAATTCTTCAGTGTTAGTGTGTTGATCGTTCCCTCTGGACTGGCTGTGCTCTGCTCCTCTGCTCCTCTGCTCCTCCTTCGTGGAGTCCCATCATCTTCACCGTCTTTTCGAGTGCGTCTGTTAGAGTTTCCTGTCGGCGGGAAACGTGGGGAGAGGATGTGACTCCGCGGCGACGGCGGAAGCAAGAGTTCGGGGCCGGGGAGGGAGGCTTTTCGTTATCGGTATCAGCGTCGACGCCATATGCAATGCGCAATGCGCAGCGTGCAATGTACAGTGTCAACGTGACCAACGATGCGGTGAGAGACAGAGACGAGGTGTTGGAGCACAGTTCCAAGTCCGGGGCACCAGAGTCATTGACGTGATGAAGTTATCATCAACAACCAGGGGCATGGAGCACCTGCTGCTCTTGGCGACCGTCAACGCCGAACGATGGAGAGAATACGGAGGCATCAAGCATGAAGCACGGGGGGCAAGCCGGGCAATGACAGGCGACTGACTGACTGTGCGGATGCTGCAAGATGCTGCAACAGCCCAAGACTGTGTCAACCAATGTGTGCAGCGCGGTGCACCGTGTTCCGGTTGCAACGATAGTGCCTTCCCGTCGTCTACTTTGCATGTCGGGAGGGTTTGCAATGCCTGGGAAGGGAAGGGAAGGGAAGGGAAGGAAAAAAAAAGAAAAGACGGAGCCGGTAGCCATGATCGCCGCCTTGTCCCTTCTCACGCTTCAGGAGGTGTTCAGGTGGCAGCCATGCCATGCCAGGGCGTTGGACAGGGGCCAAGGGTGTTGGGTTCCATCTTGTCTCGAGCTGGCTGTCCTGTCCTGTCCTGTCTTTGCCTTGCCTCAGGGCGACGTGACCATCCTTCCCTTGCCCCAGAGCTCAAGGCTCAAGCTCAAGCAACGCAACGCAACCTAAGCTTACGCCCAGGTGGCAGGGCGAAGTTTCTGACCCTGCCCTGGTCGCTGAACTCAAAATCTCTTGCTCGTTCCTGATCTTCGTCACCGCTCTGTACTCAAA